TCTTGCTTCAGGGCCAAATTCCTACCTTGATTTCAGAGGGAGGGAGAGAGAGAGAGAGAGAGTGTGAGTGAGTGTGTGTGTGTGTCCCCTTGTGCATTAAGATGTATATAGTGTGTGTGTGTGTGTGTGTGTGTAGTGTATATATATTATAGTTCCTACTAAACCACCTCTTTTCCTACCACTCCCCAAACTCGCACTGTGTTCTGGTCAGGCAGGACCATTCTCTGGCTGCCACATGTATTGATGTCTTTTTATTTTTTGTGGCTTTCCTGTTTGAATTCTTGTTCTTTTACAAATGTACCTGCTTTTAAAATGTGGTCATAGCATCCCTAATTTTGGCAGAACTCTTCTCTCATATCTCCGTTTACTGTTTTTCAGATTAGACAGACATACCCAGGCTACCACACTCGTTTGTCAGATATTTGGAGGATACCTAAGATCTAGAGGTAAACTTTTGTTTAAAAGTTGATAAAGTAATACATGCATGTGTTAAAAAAAAAATGCAAACAGTAGGAAATGGTTAATAATGAAAAGTACATCTCCCATTCTCAAAGACAATCCTTGTATCAGTTAGTAGTGTATCCTTGTGGTAGTTTCCCATGCATGAGCAAATTGGGAGTATACTATGTGTATTGCTTTCATTTTTCTTTTAATATTAGAAATCTTTTTGCATTTTAGCACATATAGGTCTAACAGAGTCTTTCACAGTTGCAGTAGTATTCCATTTATTTTAGTCCCCTATTCTTGGATGTTTAGTTGTTTCTATTTTGTTGTTGTCATTACCATCATGTTTCGTTGACTATCCACGTACACAGGCCTTTCTGTCTATGTAAACTATATATGTAGAACAAATTCTTTGTTTTAGAGTTTCTGGATCATAGGGTATGTGTATTCTGAATTTCAGTACTGCCATGTTGTCCTTGCAAGAGGTTATAACAATTTATATTCCAACCAGTAGTTATGAGGGGCCAAATTGATGATACTTTCACCCACATTATATGTAATATTCATTAAAACATTTTTTTGCCCAATCTGATAGAAAAATTATACTTTCTTTGAATTTTTTATTTTGAAGTAGTGTTTTTATTCTGTCATTTCAATAGTTGGTAATGCCATAATGATTACACTTCGCTTATCCTTTGCATTTTATTTTTATTTCAGTCAAATGTTTAAATTGCAAGGGCGTTTCAGATACTTTTGATCCGTATCTTGATATAACGTTGGAGATAAAGGTAAATTTGTTAATTGTTGTGATAGTTAAGTTTAAAATATGTCATATTTTACGTAACTTTATGTACTTACAGTTCATTTGTAATTTAGACTACGTGATGATAGAGAATATGAATTAAAAAATTTAATATGCTGGGCCGGCCCGGTGGCGCACTGCTACAGTGCGCCGCTTGGGAGAGCGGTGGCGCTCCTGCCGAGGGTTCGGATCCCACATACAGACCGGTTCCCGCTCACTGGCT